AAGCAGCACAGGGCTGGGAAAAGGCTGTGCACTCTTTGCTCTCCACACAGCCTGGTGCCCAGCTGACATGGACTGGAACAGCAGCCTCGTTAAAATCAGCCCACACTGGAGCCAGCCTTGGCTTCCTGAGACTGGTTTGTTTGAAGCGTGTTTTCAGATACTGGACCTGAATTGGGAATCATTTTCTTTGCATTGGGTTTATATTAGATTATTCCCTCTTTGGGGGTGAAAAGCAGTGAAGGTGAGGTGAGACAGCGGCCCCAGGACTGCACTGTTTTCCAGCCAACAGTGCCTGCTGTTTGTGCAGCCAGGGACAGAGGGAGGGATGATACAGCAGTCCTGGAGGAGAGAATGCTGGGGTTTAAAGCATGCTAAAGAATGAGAAGCGGATAAGAGGACAACTGCCAAGATTTTTTATTTTTTTCTTTGGCAGGACTCCAGCATCTGGAGTTGCAGCTCCTGAAGGTACAGGAACAGTTAAACTAAATGCTCTGACAGACTACTTAGAAAGGGTCAACAGAGAAAAAGCCTGTCCTCCAAATTAACTCCTGCTGGGAAAGGCTCAGCTTCACATGGCGTGGAAAGCAAGGGGGTAACCATTGAAAGGCTCTGGAGAGCCTCACCAGAATGATTCCAATCCCCCCCTTTCCACACAGAGACAGGTAAAGAGGGAAAACCGTCCACCCCTGCAGCAGCAGGCAGTGCCTGTATCTAGGTGACCTGTTTATTCTGCAGCTGGACAAACATTAGGAGGCAGACAGCATCACTGTGGCTATTACTCTTATCGCAGCCGGCTTTGCTACAAGTAATCAACTTTCAGAAATAAGATTTCCACCCTGTGTGTACAATGGCTCAGATGCAATACTGAGCTCTGCTAGCCTTCAGTGCCTGCTGACAGAGCCTGGTTCCCTTTGGCACAGCATGGAATAGCCTCATCCATTACGTTGGCACGTATCAACAGGGAGGGAGGGGGTAGAAATTAAACTGGTCAAATTGCTAGCATCAGCTTCTGCTTTTAAAATTAGTGTGTCACTTTGCACTTTGGCTCATTCCACTTCTTTTTAAAGCATACTGTTACCAGCTGCTTTACATTTCACCTCTAATTTACATAGACAAGAAAGTACCAGCTGACCAGTCAGCAGTTACTGTGGTTTCCTTATGCCAGCTGACAACAAAAAATGAAAATACTGGTGGGGAAATGAGGTATCTTCGGGAATGAGGTATTTTCTTCCTCTTACAGCAAGCCCCTGCTGTAAAGAACCTGCTCCCTACACTATGCTGCACACAGGAACCACATTCCTAAAGCTGTGTGTTTCCCAGCTTTGTTCTGGTGCAGGCAAGTTCTCCCTGGCCACACCAAGCACTGTGTGGCACACCTACCCCGTTCCAGAACTCATACCCACATGGGCTTTGTGTGGACAGACACAGAGTCAGCCCTCAGCCTTTGCAGCAGGAAAACTGCAGGCAGGGACCAGCACATCAGCTCCCAGAGCTCAGAAGCTGAATTAGACACCCAAAATGTCCCTCAGGCTCAGCATATACATTACCATCTCTAAAGGCAAAGGACAAGTTGTTTATCTCTAATGAGCAACAGCCAAGTCAGTTGCCAGCCCTAGAAAAATGTGAGAGGTGGGGTTTCTCTGCAGATTTTGGTATCAGTAACCTGGTCAAGCCTAAAAGCCATTCATCCAAAAAACAAAACCATAAGGGCTTCTGTGCCACCTCAGCAAGTCACCAGTGAGTGTCCAGCTTGCTGCTCCTTCACGTGGAGAAAAAACATGCTTTGAAGTGTTTCACACCCTGAGGTAGCTGGGGTGACTCTGAGGGGTGCAAGCTTGTGCTCCATCCCCTCTGGGAGAAGGAACACTGGGATCAGCTGCAGTCTCCCTGTCCCACAGTGCCCTATGGGGGTGGCCACATGGCAGTCATATGGCCACCACCACTAAGTCTTAACACATAACCACAAGCTGATTTCTGCACCCCAGACATCCTCGTGGCTGGCTAATCCTGCACACAGTCCAGAGGGGAACACATGTGTTCTCCTTGTGCAGAGCTGTTCTGGAGTGCAGCTTCCTCCAAAAAGCCTTTAGGTTTGCCCCCTATTCAATGGTATATTTAAAGGGTGGCAACACCCCTTTCTCACCTATTTGTTACAGAGTCACTGCTCACTGAACAGCACAAATTTTCTGTTTCCTACCCTTAGCAGTACTCAGGTTAAGATCTGTTACATCTCAGATGCAGCTTTAATACAGAGAGTGAGACCTGAGGTTTTTCTGCTTCTCCAAGGGCCAGCTGGACAGGTTGTGTCCATTGCTACTCCTGACAGGCTACAAATTAAGATGAAAAAACACCATTACCATAAAATGCTACTTTACCATCAGACTCTGAGAGCTCAACAGTAATTATTTCCATCATTCAAGACCAAAATATAATACATAATTACCTCCACACATTAGCATTAACACATCGGCTATGACCTACAGCTTAAGAAGCTGCTCTGCAGTTTGCCCATACAGTAAAATAATGTAAAGCATGGAATTTAAAGTATATCAAATTTCCTAGTTTTCACTGTGGACACACATTTGTTCAGAAATAACCAATGTACTACTTGGAGGAGCTTAAGTCATTAGATTAAGCAAAGTCACGTAGGAGATCAAAACATCCACTCTGAAAGGAAAGCATCCACACAGTAGCTCTTCCCAGATAATTGTTTGGGAACACCACAGGAACTGACAAGCCACATGAAATCACACTAGACCAGCTAGGCTGACTGCAATGCCTTGATTAAATTTAGATGTCAATGTTTTATATTAGAAGTTCAGCCACACCAAGAGAAACATAGCACTAGAGTAACAGATTTATAAAAAATTAGCTTTTTTAGAGATATCCACTCTAAACTAGACACTCCTGGGGTTCACATACAAAGCCCCTTTGAAAGCTCTTTTACAGTGTCAGAGGACAAAGATCAGGTTCCAGTTTCACAGACTGGCCAAAAAGGAGCAAGGCAGGGAGGGGGGAATGGGTGTTTAACAGGAGGAGAATGAAGAAAAAGAATGCTTTTGCAAACAAATGCAAAATTATAGCCCTGACTTCACTTTTCAGACATTAATAAATCTGTTTAAAATAAATGTGTGCCATCCAGAGGGACCTGTACAGGCTGAAGAAGTGCAGGCAGGTGAACCTTGTGAAGTTCAGCTGGGCCAAGCAGAAGCTCCTGTACCTGGGTAGGGGCAATCCCAAGGACAAACACAGGCTGGGTGGAGAATGGATGGAAAGCAACCCTGGGGAGGACTTGGAGGCAGTTTTAGATGGATATTGGGAAGAAATTCTTCCTTCTGACGGTGGGGAGGCCCTGGAACAGGGTGGCAGAGAAGCCGTGGCTGCCCCATCTCTGGAAGTGTTCAAGGCCAGGCTGGATGGGGCTTGGAGAAAACTGGGATAGTGGAATGTGTCCCTGCCCATGGCTGGGGGTTTGGAACAGGCTGATCTTTAAGTTCCTTCCAACTCAAACCGTTCTGTAATTCTGTCACTTTTTTACATCTACTTCTGCAAAAGCAAAGCAAATTAGAGGCTCCCAAGGTGGGTTCAGAGACCACCTGTAGCTGCAGGAAGGCAGTTTGAGGACAAGACTTACCAGAAGATTTTTGATTTATGGGTTAGAGTGCTGCTTCTGCAGAGCTGAAGTTGTTTTGTTAAACTTAGGCTCAACAAAATCAAACCTCCTGCAGAACAAGCCTGGGCTCTCTGTCAAAGACACTCAAACACTTTGCTGCTTGACCCCTCCAATTTCCCAGCCTATTCTTTGTACTGGTCCTCAGGTTTGTGAGCAGAGCAGAGGACATTCAGTGTCATCAGTTCCCTGATGCAGTTTGATATGAGACCCTTCAAGCTTCCAAGGCAGCAGAATTGTCTTAAAGCCAGACTGTCCAAAGCCACAGCCCCTGTCTCCCTTCAGCCTCTGCCAGCACATCCCATTCTGTGGCTGTAGCAAAAAAGCAACACTGGCACCAATCAAAGATGTTCAGCATGGGAGACAAGGAGTTTTCCCCTGCCCAGTACTAAGATACATCTCTTAGCCACCCCAAATCTCAGGGAAAACCCTGATTACACTGAGTCCATGTGGTGGAAAGCATCACCATGCTGCTGCCTCCTCCTCCTCGGCAGGGTTCTCACTCTGTTACAGAGGAAGTTGAACCCATGATTTGCCCTCAGTTCAGGTTCTTATTCACTCACACCAATTGTTCACTGCTTAAATTTGGGCCCTCCTGACAGACCCACACCAGACTGTTCAAACCCACTGAATAGTCCCACCTCTCTCAGCTTCTCCTCGTAGAAAGAAGGAGAAGCTCTTGTCCTTTAATCATCTCCTCTGCCTCTGCTCTGACAATCTGAGCCTGCAGCAAACCCCAGGAGAGCTGTGGGTGCCAGGGCACACCAGTGTGCCATATTGTGGGGATGTGGCACACAGATGGACCAGCCAGCTGCCAGAGGGAAGGTGCACCATCCTCCCTCCCTTCCCAGAAACCTGGGTTTTTCCACAGAATGGTAACTTCAAAAAAACCCCAAAATGCCCAGGAATGAGTTGATCACTTGGACACTGATGGGCTCAAGAAAATCGAGGCCCATTAATTCAGTATGAATTGTACATTTGAATATTATAACCTTTAATTGTGCGGCCTTTGGCTGAAAATTATCAACCAAGAGACAGGTGGAATGAGAATTGTGGCAAATCTGAAGCCTGTGCAACAACCTCAGCATAAGGATTCCCTTGAGGAATCAGCACTAAGGATGCTCAGCAGTATTCTCTAACAACCAGAGAGAGAACTGTGAGAGACACTATGGCAAAATAAAGCACGAAAACAAGCTGCAAACAAAATCAGCACTTCAAACAAGTCTCCACCTCCTCCAAGGCCATCAGAACACATTACTTCAAGGTCAGTGTGTACTCATGTGAGGCAAACAAGTGGCCCTGACATGGTGCAGCAGCTGCTCAGCCATACCTGTGTTTTTGGGCCCATCTGCGTACACCGGTCCTGGCGGTGGAGGTGCATTCTGCCATCCATACTGGGGATATCCTTGGTAGCCTGGCTGGCCTGGCTGGTAGGGCCCGGGGGGATAGCCGGGGTAGGGGCCGGGAGGAGCCCCTGGCTGCTGTGCATAGGGGGGGTACGGGGCAGTCGGGCCCGGGCCGGGGTACGGTGGAGGATTATCGTAGCTCATGTGGGATGCAGAATCTGTCCTGAAAAAGAGGGAAACAAACAGGACATCTGGTTTGCTTTTGTCTGCTCATCCATGACCATATGAGTTCCATTTCAGACTGTTCTCCAGAGGGCCCTATGTTGTGTTGAGACTTCAAAACGCCTAGTCAAGCAGCAAATTTATTTTTAACCCTATCACAGGGGCAGGGATGAAGTCCAAGTGATTTCCCTCAGTGACAAAAGTTAGCTGAGTAGGGGTAACATGCTGCTTTCCAGTCATGCATCAGCTACTCACCCTAAGTCTTGCAACAGCAAAGCAAAATCCTCTGCTTCCTCTCACGATTCACTTTTAAGAGAGATTTAGAAGCAATTACTTCATTATTTCTGTCAATATCAGAAAGGAAAATTATGGAAAAATGCAGTCTGCAGCAGGCATATTTAATAGCTTTGACAGGACCAGGAGTGAACACAAATGTCCATTACACTTCTGCTAATTGTTAAAGCCTCCAGACCAGCACTCTGGAGCAAAGCTGTATGTGAATAATTTCCTAATGACACTGTACCCCAGCACGTTGTGAAGTCTTCCAGTCATACACAACTGAATCATTAAGCAGCCACAAGGAATCAGGGCCTTGGGCTCAGCCTCATTCAAAAAGCAACATTAAAGACCTTAGAGAGCTGATGCTCATAAAACCCATGTCATGTATTACTCATGGCACAGCCATCGGAAGACAAGACTGTCACAATACTGCAATTTTAATGAACCTCTAGGCAGCATGACTAAGCAAACCATTTCTTACGTTAGGCTTCTGGAGCTTCTCCCTGTCTGAGAAACAGAAGTGTATATTAATATCCTACACATTCAGGAATCTTCCTGCCTGAAGCAGCTGTACCCTGCTATTTCCTTCCCCTATTAAAGGGTGCAGACAGGTCACCAGCTCCCCTTTGCTACACTGCTCCTCCCACATGCCACAGGGACAAATACCACAGCATCATTTGCCTCTGCCAGGCTCGCTGCTGCTGGTTTGTAGTGGGAGAGGCTGGTCAGCAGGATCCCCTCTGGATGGCACTGGGATGGGCACTGGGCTGGGCAGCAGAACCCCTTGGCACATCCAGCGAGCTCTGCCTGACGCAGCCCTGAGAATTTCACCTTTGCACTGTGCCCAGCACCACGTGTGGGCACAGGCCAGTGGCCCAGCCCCTGGGCTATGTTTAGCTGCTGCAGTCCCTGGCAGTGTGCAGCCAGCTGTTTGTTTACAGCCTGCTGCTCCTCAGAGCCCCTCCCCGAGGAAGGATCCCAAGGCTCTCGCTTGTTTACGCGTTGCTCCTGCCCGAAGGTTGCCAGCACCACGATGCCAAGTGGCACCGCAGGGCTCTGCCACGCACAGAGCCCGGCTGATCCCACACAATGCCTGGGATCCAGGGGCTGCTCCAAGGGGACACTGAGATGCCCCTGAGACTCACAGGATGAAGCTGTCGCTCACCTGAATTCATCCTACTTCTCTTCTTGGTGTGCCAGGCAGAGTCACAGAATCACAAACACTCTGAGTTGGACAAGGATCATCCAGTTCAACCCCTGGCTCTGGACAGACACCCCAACAATCCCACCCTGTGCCTGGGAGTGGTATCCAAACTCTCCTGGAGCTCTGGCAGCCTTGGGGCTGTGACAATTCCCTGGGGAGCCTGGGCAGTGCCCAGAACCCTCTGGGGGCAGAACCTTTCCCTGAGATCCAACCTGACCCTACCCTGACACAGCTCCAGCCCTTCCCTGGGTGCTGTCACTGGTCACCAGAGTGAAGACATCAATGTCTGTCCCTTCTCATCCCCTCACAAAGAAGTTGCCCCAGCTAACTCCTAAGGCATTTCTGTACCCTGCAGATGATATTTCTAATGGCTTTGTCAAGAATTTTAACTGCTTAACCAATGCCAGGGATTACAGGAATTTTATTTATGGTTTGTTTTTTTTTCCCCCCACTGCTAGGCCAGCCAGACCACTTAACTGCTCATTTTAAAACTGACAAGCACAACATACACTTAACTCAAGGCTCTTTAACCACTGCACTGCAAATGCAATGCCCCTACCAAGTCTCCAGCAAGGAAATTCTTCCTTCAGGGAGGCAGAGAAAGGCAGGCAGCAAGCCCTAGAACTCACTTCAATGAAATCAATTAGAGAACTGGGACACACCAGACCACTAATGCTCACCTAACCCAGAAAATCATCCCAAAATAACATCCAATATCAAGTTTCCAGGGAAAAACAAGGCCAGAGCAAGCATGTGTGTGTGTATACCCACAGACCACTGCGTGTGGCAGAGTAACCATTTGGTGTCCAGACATGGCCCAGGCAACCCTGTGAACCCCCTGGATTGCTCAGCCTCCCTGACCCAATGCTGAGCTGCTGTGCCTGCTCCTGGCACGAGGGGATCCAGGGCACTGCTGTCTGCCTTGGGGAAAACTGCCTCCTGCCCCATCAGGAGGTCACCCTCCTGAATTTAGGAATGCCCCAAACCAAGGAGGTGGCACGTGGAAATTCCCTGTTCCAAATCAAAGAGCCCCAGACCGTTGTCTGCTCCTTGGGCAGGGGACAACTTCTCCATCCATGTTCCCCTTCTCTGCTCAAGGGTGTAATTTTGCACCCTAGGTACAAATATATACACACAGAGAAAATATACACACAGAGAAGGCTTTCAAAGGCAGCAAACAACAGATCATGTTTTGTTTATAAACCTTAAGAACCCCCTGGGCTTAGCTTGCTTTGATGAGCTCTGTCCAGCTCCAGCAGACTCATCTGGATTACTTCAGTTTTTCAAAGTATTCCTGCCCAAGAGGATGATCAACTCAGCCCACCCTTTCCAGGGAAGGTCAGTCTTCCCTGCCGTCCCTTCATATGCATCAATTAATTTATCTACATTAATATCTTTAATATTTTAGTGCTGAAGTAAGGTTTAACAGATGCTGTGATTCTTCAGCTGGCTGTGAACTCAAATTCAGTCAGTAGATAACAAACTCAGCCATCCCACTGCTCCCCTACCATGGGGACTCATGCTGAGACCCATCCTTCTCCATCAGGACTGGCCATTCAGTCATTCAGTCCCTTTGGTAGCCAAGCAGGGAGCCTGCCTGGCCTCTGTGCAAGCACCCAGCATGAGAACATGCCAGAATCCCTTTGGAGCCCATGGAACCACACAGGTAACAAAGCAGAAAGGGCTGAGATGGGGATCAGCTGTACCTGTTAAAGCTCAGAAACTCCTGAAAGAGTGTGGTAAGAAGAAAGCCTGGTTAAAACCAAAAAATCTGGACATCAGCTCTTCTGCAGAAATGTCTGTGAAACAGAAGGAGTTAAAAATCCAGTGGCTTGAGCAAACAGGGAAGTGGCAGCATAGGGAACAAGAAAGAACCACTAGTGCTCTTTGTTTGCCAGCTCCATGTCAAAAGAGTTTCTGAAGAGAAGGAAGGTTTGGAGTGGAGGCAGTAACTGAGATTCCATCTGCTGATATGGGAGAGGTACTGAGGGGAAGACTGGCCAGAGCCTACTGACAGCTGTACAGAGACAGCAGAACAGAACAGAACAGAAGAAAAAATGGATATTAAGAAGAGCATATTCTACAATTGAGGGTAAAGTAACACAACTGAGATTAGGCAAGAGATAAAAGAGATGTCCAGCATGAACACTTCCAGCAGCCACTGGGGATTTGTCTGTGATGAGGAAGCACCTGAAGAATTCATCAGGGCATTCAGCATCCAGGTGGTAGTTGTGGGACTTAAGTTTTCAGAAAGAATCTTTCCTTATCCCCCACTGCCAGCCATTGCTACACACACGCACACCCCTTCTTGCCCTTTTTGAGCTGTGTGACAACACTGAGACTTCTTTCAGTCTCATGACCTTATACATGATTTTACACACTTCCTAGCCCTATTTACTCACATGGGTATGTGTTTGCATGGCTGGACTTTGAATCATGGAGCAGATACTTTTCTGAGACATACCTGAGCTCTTAGTCAAACGTATCACCGAACTTTGCTGCGGGTTCTCACCCCAACCAGTAATTCTGTGTGAGCTGCAAGCAGGATCAACCCCTGTGAGGTTGCATCAGAACCAGTATCTGTGGCTTTCCTAGTCAGCACCTCTCAGAGGCAAAGCTCTAGAGAAAGAAGCCAACCACCAGTAAACCCCTTTGCTTGCCATGGCACTGCAGAAGGTCCAGCAGGAAGAGCCACCACAGGCTCTTGGTCCCTGCACAGTCTCAGAAAGATATTTCCTTGCAAACAAAGAGATTTCCTTGACTGTCACTAAGCATTTTCCCTGTCTCTGCTGCTTAACAACAGAGAAATTGCTAATCCATCTGAAGAGAATGGCAAAGCACGTTCCTATTCCTCCTCCCCACTGAATCAGTACTTTTGCTAAGGGGCAAATTCATTAGTACATCATTGTTTCCTTAAGTTATATTCAAAGTCCTGTGTTCCACACTGCTGAGGAAACATTATTTCCCCTACCCCAACAGCAGGGTTAAATTTTTAAACAAGCTGCTTATCATACTTATCAGCCCAGAAGGCTGCACTGCTGCTCAAAGGGTCTGCAAAGCAGAAGCCACTGAAGTACGGTGTCGTATAGAAAATGCACATGGCATTTTCATGTGTGTACATTTCATGTGTGTACATGACACAGATGTGCATGTACACACAGAGGTACCAACAGGCGAAAAACACCATCCTATGGGAGAATATCAGTTCTTCTACAGCTGTAACCTGGCTCTGGCTAAAGGTTACAGGTTTAAACCTGGCTTAGCAAAAGGTGCAAGTACAGAACTATAATGCTTTGCATTCACTACACACATATATATATTTAGCTTGTCCATTTTGGCAACCAATTCTTAGAGAAACAAATTTCACCATTAGGCTTTGAAAAAACTTCTGATTGCACCACACTTACTGCCTTGTACAAGGCCAGCAAAGCAAGGCAGCTGCTATAGAACTAGTCAGTCACTGCTCCTGATCTTTCTCTTCCAGCACACTCATGAATTTATTATCTTTTTCTTTCTTCAGGCATCTCTCCTGAGCTGAAGACTGTCTGCTTCAACAGAGCCTGCAACATTCCTTGATTATTCTTTGCAGCCATTGCTGTGCCTTTTAGTGTTCCCATTTGTCTCAGAAGAAGCAGGCAGACTCTCTTTGCACAGTGCCACAGCTGCCTTCTGCTTCCCACCCCTTTCCCAGCCCATTCCCAGGGCAGCTCTTGCCATCCATCAAGCTAAAAACAGAGCTCAAGTTGCACTGTACGTAATTGCAACTGCAAGATCCTTCCAAGTGGGAATAGCTCCTGTAGAGCCTGTCACTGCGCACGTACAGCTCAGCACACTGCTCATCCAAGTGACAG